ACATCGTCTATTTTATATCCGCCCCTCGCTCATCCGCCATTTCCTCCTCCTCATTTTCACATCGCCAAAGAGCCCGCTTTCCCTCCCATCAATTCGACCGGTCGGGGCAATTCCAGCGCGAAATTCACTCGTGACAATTGGTTGGCTCCCTGCACCTTTCTGTAATTACACGTGAAGTCATCGCGGGAAGACATTCCCGTTTTACTTTGACTTTGGGGATCGACGCTTCTGCCTAAGAGTGATTCTCATCTAGGCAGTTAAGTTTAAAATCCTTCGTAATTGTGACAAAGATGAATCCACATCGCGGCCACCGTCATTTATTTCATCGCGTTTACCCTTCGTTTATCAGTTCGCCAGTCACGAAGGATTCCACTCTGTCTTGCTTCAATCGGCCGATCCGCACGATCCGATGATCGCGCGGGTGACGTGAAATCGACGTAGCCACCCGTAGTGACCTCTTCGGTCGCTTCGCGACCTCATCCTCTCGACATGAATTCTCTAGACGCGAAGCGGAAGAGGGGACTCCGAAGCGCGTGATGACGAGGCGCGATCTCTGGTGGCTCCCACGCCCCCAACGCCCCGCTCGTTAGTCGGAGTCAGCAGCGGTCGTCATCGACGTGTCATTCGGCACCGAGAGCCCTGGTTACCACGGGGTGGGGTAACATCCCGGAACGACGAAGGACACGAAGAGACACGAGGCCAGGAAGAGCTTCAATGTGCATCCATCCACCCACCCGTCCCAACATCGACGACCTGACGCAGCACACGCGCGGTCCCCGTCATCGAACCGATGCGCCAGCAAATTGTCACGCTCGCGGAAACGTTGGGAGCGAAATTGCGGATCAATGCGCGGATAGTATACTGAGACGAGAGAGTAACGGCGTCTGTCTTTTTGATATGTGATAACGGCCCGCTCGCGATACGTAGCACGTATACTTTTGCATCATAAAAAGTAGAAATAATCTTGACTACGAATCTTGAACGAAATCTTGTATAATTCATATTATTTTAAGTTTATTTCATAACTTATAAACTTCTTAGACGCGAATGAGCAAATTTTAACGGTATATTTTGTAAATTATATTGTGCGAACGAATAGGTCAATTTTATGTTATATTGGTAGATTTAAATACGTTATTCAATTTAGTATCGTAATTGAATAATTCCAAAGATGACTCCGGAAGTATCAGAGCAGCTATCAATTTAGGAAACGGCTCCGCATCTAATACAGACATTTAATCCATCGTCTATTTGTACTGATTTGAATTCGGGCTACGAACGATCTCATTGTCTCGAGAATTGTCTTAGGGAGCAGTTTGCTCCTCAGGAAGACTACGGTTATTTCAGCTATACCGGTGCTGCTATCAGGGTAGCGAGCCGTGGATGAGGTTTGCGCACCGCGGAAAGGGGTCGTCTAGAGGCAATCGGGCTAAACTACGGACTCATTTACACACTTAGCCCCGCTTCCGCCTGGCTCGTTCCTGCCCCAGCCCTCGGGAAAACCCAAATGGTTTTCATATTGTCTTTTTACCGCTCATTTTCATTTTATCGCTTGTTTGGCCACTGAGTCGTGCTCTTGCAACGCGGCGCGTTTCATTTGTCGCTTCTATCTTTCTTTCTCCTCTCGTTCTCATCTCGAATCTCGGATCTCGGATTTGTATTCAATGAAGAGGCAGAACCAAACGAGCCATTTTATCATCGATGCCTAATGATATCAATGTAATTTTGCGTAAAAACCTCGTTAATATATGCGTATTATTTAACAGGATATTGAAAATAATAAAATAATGCACTGTAATACACTGAGTAATTTTGCATATGAATAAACGTTTGTATGAATTTTCATTACAACAATGTAATGAAAAGCCTTCTAGAAATAAGCAAAAAAAAATATATATATATATTATGTTACGTAGTGTACCATGGGTAATAAAAATTTTTGAAGTCAAACGTGCGCGTCGCTACGACTTATAACGTAGTCTAGAACGGGAAACCGTCGTGGAAAAGCATCGGCGCTACAGGGTCGGGGGTAGCGCAGAACGGACCGCCACGAGCACTTAAGACTATTGTTTTCAATGTAATTGGATAGCTCCTGCTTTCCATCTCCCTTCCTCAACCGTTGCTTCCTCCTTCGCTTGCAGCAGCTATCTCGAATCGCGCGGAGGGTGGAAAGCAGCCAGCCAGGCAGTCCCCACATAGCTTCGACAATTATCTTGATTGTTTTATGCATACACCAACGAACTCACGAGCAACTTATCTCTGGAGAAGTCGAACCGTAAAGAGAAACTGTGGTCGCTTCGAACGCTGAATGTCGCATATTTCTACGATTCAAACTCACTTGATAGGTATCATTGATCGATGATCGTACAACAGGTGATTGTAATAATGTTCCATTATTCGTGGTTACACTCGTTAGCGTTAAAAATAATCCATATATACCCGTTTACGTATTCACGATGCATGTTGGTACAAATCCTCGCGAAATATATCAACTTTTCGTCACCATTCTACACAGAAAATAAGGGGAAATTAACTGATATACGTATAGTCGATTCGAATCTCGATAACCGAATGAAGCTCGCACATCTTGCCAATCGGTCTGTCGCCGATATTCTCTCTCGAGGCATACCATTATACGTGCGTCGATCATCTCGTCGAATCTGCAATTTAGCCCGCATCAATTCGCGTTGGATCGTACTCTCGGAAACCCGCGCCCGCGCGACCGTCTCAATCCTCTGCTCGACGCGGCTTTATACGCGGCGTTAGATATCCACGGAGATCCGATGGAAACTCTACGCCCAGACAATACGCTCAGCCGATTTAATTAGGATAAGAATCGCTCGGATCGGATATACACCGGCGCACAATGGGGTGTACCGGGGATGGCGGGTGGGGAATGGAGCCACGCTTCTGATGTATGTATACCGTGGCTCGCCTCCAAGAAACATGATACAGCGTCAGTTGAAGAGGGGCTTGGGGGAGGGATTTGTGGGCTGCGGTAGTGTCCAAAAATACCGCAAGCTTCGGCAAAAAGTAACGATCGGGCGCGGAAGGGAGAGAGGACGTAATACCGCGGGCGCCACGTGCTAATTATGTAAAAATATGATGCGGTTCGCTCGCTCGCGATGCAGCCGCCGGCTTTTATATATCCGTAGTCGGATCTTTTCGTACCAATCGATAACTTGGCGGCACGGAACAAGCATCATTTGTTGCGTAACATTGCGTTACGCATTCATTTTATATTGAATTTAATGCAAATCTGTCATAGGGATCTCAATATAATAAATGCGCTTATTCATTTGAATGTTTTTTAATTGTACGTTAGTACAATTAGAAGTTATAAATGTAAAGAGAAACAAAACAGGAAATAATCAATGCTGAAGCATTTTTTTGATACAAGTCACGAGGAGTCTTCGGTTTCCTTCTACATCGAGAAAATTAATTGACATGACCCTCGCGTGTCACGGATAGATAGTCTTCAGAGAGAACGTCTCCATTGGGAATGCAACTGTCGGCGGACTATTTACTTGTGACGATTACGTGCGTCTAATTTCATAATTGCGGTTAATGCGAGATTAAAATTGAGATGTGGCTATGCCCGCGATATTAATATGTCTCGCTAGGTGTAATGTAATTGAGCGTCGGTGACTGTTTTCTGTACATCGCGTGCACAATTTTTTAATGCTCGAAGTACGGGCACCGTTCAATTCTGACTGCAAAGATTTTATCCCTTTTAAGTAGATTTCGTGAAGAGATCAGTCCATTTGGTTTAATTAATTCTCTTTCTCGTTCTTTAATTACTTATTTAAATTATTAGCCAACGAATTAATTAATATTTTATATTAATTATACTTTACTATTTTATGACAAATTATTTAACGCAATCAACGTTATGTCACATATTAAAAAAAAAAAAAAATTTAATCCTCTGCCAAGGTTAATGTCAAAAACAAAGATACCGAACTTGAAGTAGAATGTAGGTGCATAATGTTGCATATGCGTATACATCTTTTAGAAGCTTGGCACAAAGTTGATTGCGTAACAACATCGAAGAGATTTGGTTCTTGCTGCGACTGCGATATTAATGCGCGCAGTATCTTTTCCAAACGAACGGCTAGAACGCTGCATGAATTTATAGGCTTGCATGACACAAGATCGATGGAATATCTGTAAGCGTAATTTATCTAACTAAATTTCATATAATGGAGACGGCTAAAGATTTAATGATACACAAAAGTATATATATATATATATATATATATAGAATACTTATTTTGCCGATCTGTTCTACTAATATTCTTGCATTTCTTCGGTGTGCTTTTATATAGTTTCTCTTTTCTCAAAAGAGGGGCAATACGAGCGGCAGCGTGTCGCGCTTGGCGCATCGTTTTGGCGTAGCATGAGTGCATCTGCGTCGATGCAACTGCGTGATAAAAAGCGGTCGTCCGAGCGGGCGATATATAAAAGGAACTTTTTGCAACACCGCTGTCTCTTTCACCGCTTTCTCCTCTTTCTCTTTCTATGCCTGTTTTTTTTTTATTGTTGTTGGCCGGCAATAAATAATATTTCGCAGGTGCATCTACGATACGCCGCCTGCAATGCGTGGATTGTCACGCAGATAAAAGTCAGCGCGCGCGACGCATTGTATGTGCTCTGTGTACTTACCTTAGTGTGCGATAAATCACTTGATAAATTATTTAAAAACTCGCCACACGTTCTTCGGCGAAACGCAAACGGCGCGGCGGTAAAGTGATGGCAGAGTGAGACGGGGAAAAAGGAAATTCTTTTATTTACTTTCGCATTTTACGTCCGCTAATTATTGCGCTCAACGTAACTGCTCTGTACTAATATGTAATAATTGCAATCTTTCGCCGACAATTTCGCGCTAATTGGTACCTGAGTTTTTGACTTGCGTCGCATTAATGGTTACTTAACGTAAATACGCGAGATCGTTTGTACATTCATTTCATTACTAATTGATTTACTTTTTTTGTTTGCAGCATCCGTATCCCTCGGAAGACCAGAAAAAACAGTTGGCACAGGACACGGGGTTGACGATCCTTCAAGTTAACAACTGGTGAGTACATTGCCTCTTAGACAACATTTTTTATGTACTTTTATATATATACTACGTGTAAAATAATTGCCAGACGCTAAAATTGCATATCATTTTAAAAATTTCACGAAAAAATCGGTTGGAAATATTTATTTTTCTAAAGTTTGTACAAATCTTTTAATTTTAATATTGTGTGATTAAAAAAAATTGGTCTAAATTGTATTACAAAATGAAAATATTTGTTCAAAAATATATTTTATTATTAACATTTATCACGAAAATAATCAGGGGATAGGTGTATCATGGGATATAATCAGGAATAGACCGTATTCAGATTTTTGCGTGTTCGCAAGTGTAAACAAATTTATCTTTCGACCGTAATCGAATCTTCCCAAGCGACGACGATCGAAAGCTCGCTGTATGCGTGCCAAGCGAGAAACTTTTTCTAGACCGGCGGGCACATGAGAGCGGCGAACGGGCGTCGAATCATACGGCACGTCGCACGTGTCATATGCGAATTCCAGACACCCTGAAATTACGCCCGTACATCAAACGGAACGAGGCGTGCACGACCGGGGCTCGGCACCAGCGATTGCACGTTGACGTTGCAACGAGCTGATTATTTCAGCGCGCCAATCACGCGAGTACAAACGGCGCGGTAGGCGTATGCGTGTCAGCGAGTCAAATAGGCGGGCTGATTTCTGTAATTTGTGTTTTTCCATGACCTCAAGGAAGCGCTGATTGCAACTGTAGTTCCTGACTTCGATTTAATTCGTTCTGACACGTGCGTCATCAATACTCGCGGCTTTACTCGCGGTTGTATTACGACGATTATGTAATCTCGATAAACGAATTTTGTATTCGTGAGATTCCAAAATCGTTATCGTGTTTTAATACAGAAAAAAATAATTCTAGAAATTTGCAAGACTAGATAATGAATAAAGTATTTGGTTGTATCTTGATTGGTCTTATATAGGAAAATAAACAAGATTACACACATACGAGCGATCAGTTTTATAGGTAATATAAAGTTAAAAATATAAAAGTATGTATAAAGAAGACATTAATTGTCGTTCTCTTAAATTCAAGTAAGTTATAAAATGATCGTTATTAAGAATAGAATTAACTCTAAATTCTGCGTTATATTTAAAAACTTATATGCCGCGGAAGGACCGTTCCATTTTCGATAAAGTGAAATTTATTTCGGATCAGACTAATTGAGCGAACATTTTACCTCGATCACCTTACCGTTGAGCAGAAATATCGGGTTACGTAACTTTACGACATAGCACCGCAGTAATCCTCACATTTTTCTATACAATTCATTTACTCGTATTCGATATTAATTATAATGCTTCGTCTCTAGTGTGTTTTATCGCATTGAATTGATGAGTTAGAGATTTCTTGTTACGTTTTATGAAAATATTACATCATCGCTACTTTGCTTTACAAAATTCACATTCCACTAGTATCTGACGTTTGATTTTGTTGCTTTCTTTCGCGGTATCAAGCATATTCATACTGTCGGTGATGCTAGGGAACAATCATTTTCGTAGGATCAAATAGAAGCGGAGTAGAGCATATTTATATCTACAATTGTATACGTTGAACAAGCTATCACAAATGAATTTCTTTGTTTATCCTTTATATTACTTTCTTTATTTGAGATATTTTGATGAAACTTATTTTTTAAAAAATCACGCAATTTAAACACTACGGATTTGCTAAATAGATTTATATTATAAAATTTTGTTTGATTTTGTTCGAATTAAACGAGTTTGTTCGTTCTCAATTATTAAGTACAACATTATAACGAATACACTAACGCTCTGATTCATGCTTCAATAATATAAGTGCATCTTAACAATGTCGAACGGCGTATGTACGCGAAACAGTATAATGTTGGCACCACACGAACGTAATGTAGCGTTTAAAATAATATCTTGCTCGTCAATGCTCGGCGCTGAGCGCGCAGTATCATAGCTATAGAACTGAAAAGCTTGTAAAACGTTTATACGCCGCGTTCCCTTTACGCACCTTTAATCTTGACGCGAAGAGTGCCGTACTGGGTATTATATTAGTCGCTATTACGTAGCAACTTTACGATTTCGTATCTAGATCGTCAGTCGCAACCGCACTCTCAGCAATCTCTTTCTCAGTCGTTTTCGCTTGCAGTCCTGTTTTTTATTTGAAATTTTCTTTCACTTCGAGATATCTTCTACTGTTTTATCTTTCCTGCAGTGTTTTCTACTATAATGACTATCGTACCGGTAGACGCAATATTTGAATCGCTTAATCACATTTCTATTTTTATCCCTGTTATCTCTGAGTATTCTAGTTATCTTGGTTTTTGCAGAGACAGTAACTTGTTGTGGAGAACACAGTGGTTTAACGTTCCGACGCACACAATTTAGTAGGTAGAATCATTCGCATTCCTATTTTGTGAAGATCGTTGCTGTTGTCGCAGGTATAACCAATAACCGAGTTGCGGCATAATTGTGTTTGTGGCGATTACGTTAATGGCCCGGCATATATTTATGGTCCGCAAATCGTTTACCGTTAACATAGATAACTCGTACTTTGATACTTTGATGGATACAAACCGGACATAGATTATTAAACGTTTATATAGATAGTTAAAAATAACAAGAGTAAAAAAAAGTACACAAAAAATAACACGCACGAATGCGCGCGTGTCTGTAAGTTTATAAGTTATCACTAGATGCAAAAAATGATATAGCGCTCTTGCAAAGTTAGGTTTTATATTTTAAGAATCTCTTCAATTTCTATCTTTCGCGTTGACAATCGCTTTTCGATAAAGTTTCTCGCGATATTTTCGGAACTCGTAAATTATTAGACAGCCAACCGCATTACTTCGAGGACACGATCGTCGTCGCGACCGTTAATTCCTTGCGATCCGGTATTAGCTGGAAAGGGTTAAGACGACGTGGAGAGCCGCCCTGTGAAAGCTTAGTCCTTTCTGTCCCATGGAGAGGGGGGGAGAGGGAGAGGGAGAGAGAGAGAGAGAGAGAGAGAGAGAGAGAGAGAGAAATATCTCCCGTTTCTTCGAGTTGATCCACCCCACCCTGTCTTTCTTCCGCCCTTTCTCCCTACGGGGAATGGGCCGGGTCTTGCACCCCCAATCTCGCCATCTTGATAGATGTTTCCGCGTGGCACCTGCGCCGGCATCCGAATTACTGCGGGTCCTGTTTACCGTGATATTTAAACGACATAGTCGCGTCACAATCCGGCCTCTCCACTCTCGCACCACCCTCTCCTATCCTCTCCTCGCCGTCCCGTGGATGAAATCGTGTCGCGCCGCAGTAATCTCTTTGGCTAACTTTAGCGGGAGCGAAGATCAAAATAATCCAGGTTGCCGTCGTTCCACGGGGATGAATTGAGCGAGCGTGCATACTCGACGCATTGGTGAAATTGGCAGGGGGTTCGGGATGCAGGGAAAGGTGAGAGCGCTTGCGGCCGGATATAAAATGCGAAACGAATTGCATCGTGGTACACGACGGAATATGCGAAAGCGTCTTCTTCACTTTTCTCTCCATCATTCTCTCCTTTTTTTTCTTCTTTTTTTCCTCTTCCTGTTGCGCCGCGACGCCGTAGCTGGTTGGCTTGCGGCGCGTATAAATAAAATCGTCGCGACATTCGCGAACGTCTCGCGTTGGCTTATAGCAAGCGAGAATGAGGAGGATGCGAGGACGGAGGATTACGGTAATTGAGCACAAATCAAGTTTAAGGAGGACCCACCGGTAGCGATCCACGAAGTTGACGTTGCAATGCTTCGCGTAGCCAACCGCGCGGCGCGTCGTTTATATTTATTTCCATCGCGTTTCTGGACACCCACGCAAAGCTGCGATAATTACGGAGTCGCAGCGCTTCGTCGTCGCGCGAATGGTGCTAATTGCGTCGTCGAAGATCGGAAAAGCGGAGTGGACCTGGAACATTTGGCAAGAACTCGTTGTTTACATTCAGTATTTTTCAACGTGTCAGCATTCCTCGGATATTTCTGCCAAAATTTACGTCAGAAATTATATTTTCCTGTGTGGATAATTTCACTGTGTGAATGAAAGCAAATTTTAATTTATTTTTGAGTAAATAAGTAGCGTTACGAATAATAACCATGAATACTCAATTGCTTTTCTTTGCTTCCGAATTTCAGATTGAATTACTAATCAGTATCATTTTGTGTAATTTAATAACAAAAAGGAATAATAATATTTTAAAGTGATATTTTCTGTATATTAAGATTTCAAGAGAGGTCATATGTCGTTTTCCTTGCAACACTATTTTTTAACTTTCATCTCTGTCACTCTTTCTACAACGAGAAAGAGAGAGAGAAGCTTAAAACGGATACTCGATTTTCATCTTCCTCCGCGTATTGGCCTACGAAACTTCTTTTACGAGGAGCTGTCTCGAGCGAAAAAGGGAATAGGACGAGAGAGGCAAACCACCCGCGTTTTTGCATACCGAGACGAAAGTGCGCGTCGTGATGTACGATTCGCGTGGGTGGGCAGGTATATAAGGGTGCGCGACGTAGGCGGACTTTGGAGCTTACGAGGCTCGCACTTGCGCCCGAAGTGCATACGAGCGAGCCCACGGCAATTTCTTCGCGGCGCGATAAGTTTCGTGATATATTTCGCTGGAGGAAACTCATGTTTCCGTAATGCAATTAGAGCGTAGCCCCCGCGCCTCATAACGCTGGCTGGACAAGGGGAACGTCTACGACCACGGCGACTATGAGAATAGTGGCGACGGCGGTTCAGAAATGGCTGCTCTAATTAGAATACGCTGGACAAATGAAATAATTCGTAAATAAAATAGCCGAGGAACGTCTACGTGCATCGAGGAGAAGACCTACCATTCCCCCGGGCGCTTTCTCTCGTTCTCTCTCACTCTCCTTCTCGTCCTTCGTCCACAATTTTCCGTCACATATATCAGCCTGGACAGTAGTTAGAACCGTTGCCAGCTTGTTACTGTGTACAGCCCTCCGTGGCTTGTACACAAGCGTG